ATCTGTTTAATATTGTTTTATAAATAGCTATATATTTAAGATCAAAAGCCGCATTTACACAAGGTTGTACAAAGCTCAGGCAGGCTAGGAAAGCAGGAGGGCGGGAATCAGGAAGACGTTATATTGCATTGAGGGGGTTGCAGTGAATGAGATCAAACAAAATCTGCATGACTCACTAAATGTAAAACTGATGATCTACTGCTCTGAAACCTTCGCCCAGTGCACAATGAAGAGATTTTTGGCAATTTTAAAAACATATTTTATAGAATAAAATAAGGGAGGCAAGTTTAGGGATATTTAGCAAAGGATATATGTTATGTATATCTAAATTGCAGATAACCTTTTGGAGGACAAACTCAAGACTTTTATTGTCATACTTTTGGTTTATATTGTCCAACAAAGGAACCCCAGAGGTGCTGTGTGATGTGCATTGAGATGCTAACTGCGAGGTCGGCATTTTCAGACCACCAGTTTATGCTCCGGAGAAAGATGAGGCTGCTGCTCCCGTAGAGTCCCCATGTCGGACGCCACACAGAGGCTCCCAGAGTGGGAAGGACTCTACAACAACTGGGGTGGTATTGCCCAACAGTAAAGGTTAAAATTCATACGTTGATTTTGTTTAATATTTCCCCTTTCCTAATTATAAACCTAAGTAATTTGTATATGAATTCATTTAATGGAAACATTCGAGTAGATGCGTTTAAAATATTGGGAAAACAACCGCTCTTTGGTGAATGTTGAAAACTAATTGTACGCCCTTGGAATTCTTTATTATATCTTCTGGTGTTTAATTCCTATTTTGATCCATTAAACACAGTTTTCTCTAGTCCCCCCATTTGGATATGATCTCTTGATCTCTCTTTCACTGAATAGTTGCCTTCATTTTAATTAAGGATATAAATGTTTGGTTTCTCAGTCATCACATCAGCCACATCCCCAGGGGTCAAAGCCACCTGTGGTTTGTTGGTGCCTGTTTTGTAAAGGGCAGATACCAAATATTTCTATTATCACAGAACATTTTATTGGACAGTGGTGATTTACAACTTTGTACGTTAGATTTCATAGACACTTTACCCTACCTCTACCCAAACTTCTAAATTAAAGACAGACAAGTTCTAAGGGTAGGGGGAATATACTTGTCATCTATTTCATAATTATATCACTTCCTTATCAATATAGCTTTCCATTTTTTCTTAGGATATGGAGACGTTTCTCAGTAATATGATCACGATGTGTCTAGGTTTGCTTTTCTTTATGTTTCCCCTGGTTCAGATTCAATGTGGGGTTGTAATTTTTATTAGATTTGGAAGCTACATGGTCATGATTTTGAATATTTTCTTATCCCTCTTTTGGGATGACAGATATAAGAATATTAAATAGCTTGCTATTGCAACATGGTTCTCGGAAGGCCTGTTCAATGTGCTGCATTTTGAATAGTCTCTATTCATATTCATTCAAAGTCACCAATCTTTTCTTCTGCAGAACCTTATCAACTGTAATATGCATTCACTACAAGGGGGCTTCAAAATGCTCGTTGAAAAAAATACATAGTTTTGAATTCCAGTTTTCTTTAAACACTTTATAGCCCTCTATTTTTTTAAAATTTCAGGCATTATATTTCTCATTTTTAGAATATTGATTTTTTTTTTAATGTCCTTAACTTTCCCCCCTGGTTATGGTTTATACTTTTATGATTCTTGGGAGGTTCTTAGGATGCTGAGGATAGTATATTTCACGTTGTACCGTATATGAATTATGTAATTTTAAAAGTTCTGTGCTTTGATCTAACAATGTTAGGCTGTCTTCATTTGGTTTGAGTATCTTGAGACTTGTTTATGAGTTTTTATAGTGTGGTTCATGAGTATCTTTTACTCTAGGAATAGTTTATACTCATTACTTCTAATATCAAAACTTTAGAATTCAAGGGATCAATTGGTACTCTCCATTTTTTTATGCTAAGAACTTCAATGAATCTTGGCTCTTCATCACCATGGAAGCCACCAGCTGAGAGCTTTCCGATAGCTTTTGACCCCCCTCCTAGATTGGTGTCCTTTGCATGCTTGTCTTAGGATTGGGCACTGATTCAAGGGACCCACTAACAGGATTTCTGGAGTGCTCTATCTGCATCGTTCCCTTCTGTGTAAAATTCTGTCTCATGAAAGTGATGAGATTGTCTACACCCTGATCTCTGGCTCCTTACCACTCTAAGATTATAGCCTCTATTTGAAATGGCCCTCTCTGTTCCATGGCTTCTAATGTGCTTTTCAGGCAGAAAGCTGGGCTAATCTTAGACATTATGTTCTTTATTTACTTTCTCTCAAGTATCATCATCTTGAACTTTCTCTAGCTTCATATCTGGAGGGAAAAGAAGTTATTCCATACATTCATCTGATTTTCCAGTTGTTTAAATCAGGAGGAACCCAACTTATTTCACTTTAATTGGAATATTTAAATTATTACATATTTGTGTAAGAGAGATGCACAACTTAAAATATACTATTAGTTTACACCTGGCTTTTAGAGAATTTTGCAATTATCATGGGCAATCATACAACAAGCACAACAATAAAACCTCTTTGATCATTAGACACACTAAAAGAAACTGAAATGTTAGATTATATTTTTATATACAGTAAGTACATACTGACTTTAAAGTCATTGAGAGCTATTAAGCATTGAGTCAAAATTGGCAGTGAGTTCGGTTTTGATTTGGTTAAACTTTTTGATGCAAACCAAAAGGCTGAATGTTCAGGTCCACACAGAACCTTCTGGGGAAAATGCCTGGTGATATACTTCCAAAAAATAACCGTTGAAAATTCTGTGGGGTAGGATGCTACTATAACACACAGTGGAATTTCCATGTGTTGACAACAACCAGTTTTTGAAAACCATTAATAAGATGTGAACAATTGGCAATTTATAGCAATAGCCATAAAATTTCTCTACATAAAGAGATGAAGTCAGAGATAGCATGTTGACGATAAGATAATGGTGTTCAGACTATAGCTGTGCCCTGAATTGCATTAGACTCAGTGCACTGTCAGAAACAGAGCACTATAAACCATGGATGTAACCTAATCTAACAATTCTTGTTTAAATTTTAAAATGTATAGCTACTTTAGAAATAAAACATCAAATGTGAGAAGTGTTCATCTTTAAAAATAGTCCTGTGATATTGTCACAAGAAGAACAATAAGAAAATAATGTGATTGCTATAAATTTTATTACTGATCTTAACCTAGACCAATAAAAAAGATGGTTATCGATTCATTCTGGAGACCAAAAAAAAATTGCATCTCTAGCTTATTTTCCCCTTAGTGTGATTAAATGACACAAGATGATGCTTTGCTTTGATTTTTAAATGTTTACCTTGATTTTTCTTATTTCCATTGATTCTTAGAGCATTTATTTTTGAAGTATGCAGTTGTTCAATTTGCAACATTAAAAAGAAATAGCTTTTCTCTCTTCCAACCTGGATTCAATAATGCATCAAGAAACCACTAAAACGTGGTAAATCCTTATTTTTACTGATGCCATATTCTTAAATTTTATCTGTATAACTAAATATTTTCAAAATGGACTTTCACTATAATGACATGTGGAATGTTGAATGTGTAAAATGACGTAGAAGTGTAATAATCCAAGAAGTAATAATGAACAGCTTAATTTGGAACATTCTTATGTTACTTTATTGCTCTTGATTTCAGGAGTACTTGCTTTAAATATATAGTGAGTAGATTTTCCAGCATATCCAATTTGCATGTCTTTAAGACTTGTACTGCTTTAATGTGTAATTTAGAAGTGGCATTTAAAATGATTTTCTTAAAAAATCAGATGCACTTATTAATTATCTTTAAAGCGATAGGATTTTAGAGAAGAGTCTTCAATTAAAATTGTAATTTGTCCCCCCAAAAATGCATCAATCAGCTAATATTCATCAACCATCACCAGTGTCAAAAACTGAGCCCATGGTGAGATTTTATGTTCAATATATATTTTGTCTTTAACTTATTAAGTACCTTAGAAAATGATGTCTGGCAAAAATAAGTGCTTAATAAATATTGTTGAATGACTGACTGAATGAATGAATTTTAGGACCTTGAAAAAAAACCCTGTAAATGCTTGAGTACTTAGAAAATTGCATTGTGTTTAATTAGCCAGAATTAAACAATCTGCGAAGCTCAAAAACCACTTTTTGGAAATACTAAGAGTCCTTAGTCAACATAGGAGCCATTAGTTAAATGGATAAAAAATGAGGTTGAGAGTAGAAATTCTATCACAGATACCCAGTCTACTAATTTGCTAATCGCTGATGAGCACTAGCTACAAATGCTTTTATAAAACTGACATGCGCTGTTGGCTCAATTAACAAGAGCACACAAAATTAATTCTGGTTATATCCCTCATTTAATTTCAAAGTCATATTTTTCTTATATGAAATTTTCTAATTGATCATCTTAATTTTAATATTTTTTCTCTTAATGGAATGAGTTAGTTTCTGATAGGAAAGTTCTTGTAATGAAAGAGCTGATATGTCTAATTATTGAAAACATAACAAAAATGCAAGTATTTCATTTTACCTAGAAGGACGTTACTATATATCATATACTATCTGACCAGAGGAAGTTGGATATTTTTTGTTGATATCATAAGGTGCCTTATTTGCACCTTCAAAATAAAGAAACTTAAAAACAAACAGAGTTATAAAATGCTTAGTGACTGTACAAGGCTGAATTGTGGATGAATCCATCAGAAATTTACATACAATTATATGTTAAATTGCTATGACAATTTCTCTGCCACATTTAACAGAACAGTATTCACCTTTTACATGAATAAATTTTCTTCTCAATAAGCTTTACCATTTCTATTAATACATTTTCTTCTCAATAAAATAAATTTAATACGTAAGGACTTGAAGTCACCTGCGTCATTATTGAAAACGATGAAAAGCCAGTGATATTTATTCAATCTAATTGTTTACTTTTGATTTTTTTAAGGGTTAAAACATAGCAACCATGACTGGCAAAACACAGACCAGCAACGTCACCAACAAGAACGACCCCAAGTCCATCAACTCTCGTGTTTTCATCGGCAATCTGAATACCGCCATTGTCAAGAAAGTTGACATTGAAGCCATTTTCTCAAAGTATGGGAAAATCGTCGGGTGCTCAGTGCACAAAGGCTACGCGTTTGTGCAGTACATGAGCGAGCGGCACGCGAGAGCCGCGGTTGCCGGAGAAAATGCCAGGATCATCGCAGGGCAACCACTTGGTAAGTCATGCGCAGTTACCGATTCGTGGCAGTGTCCAAATCTCCACGTACATTCGGGTATGGTTGGATTGCTGAAAAATGAGCACTGCTTAATAATGTCCATCTTTGACCACCTGTGATGCTGAATCTCTACTGTTCTCTTGTTCTCATATTGTTTCACATACGGAGATTTTGTGTTCTCTACAGATTTATAAACTCAGACCAAAATGGATTTGTGAGCGTTTTATTGCTTCTGTCAGATTTAACGTAGGCTCAGGCAAATAAAATAGATTCATCACATTTTACTTTGATTTGAAATTGTATTTATCAAACAGAAAACATTACATTGATAAAATAACTTTTTCTTATTATAGTCCTAGCATCTGCTTTGTGGAACTAATGTACCTATTTCCCCTCATTTTCTGTTTTCAGTATTCTTGGGGTGGGCTGTATGGAAACAGTAAAAGATTATACATTTTTAGCGTATGGAAAGAAGCATAAGCTACTCCTATCTAGTTGGGAACCTTTTGTGTTGTGCTTGTTCAGTTAGGAGACGTAATCATATGTTTGTCTAATGACCAAGGAATCACAAATTTTTTAAACAGAGAGGAGAAAAATGTAGTTGGAAGTAAACTGAAAATAGTTTGGGAAAAAAATATTCTGTAAGTAATGTTTGAAGAGGCTTCGAATAGTACGTGGAAAAATGGAAATAAAATGCAATGGACTTGTACTTTGAGAATATTTCCCCTTAAGTCTTTTCATTTAACTTCAGACTATATTCTCCTTTGTTTGAAATTAACTGGATAATCACTTAATGGTTTTCCTAGTGAGAATAAGATATCCTACCTGAGATCATATATCAAAATATTTATTCAACATCTTTTTGTGGGCATCCAACAGCAATTTTAATTTCTTATACATAGAACAAAACTTTTCATTTTCCTGAGCCCCCCAGTGTACCTCCTTGAGACTTCTCCCTCACAGTAAAGGGAACTTTTAGATATCCAGTTTGGGTCACAGTAATCATTTGTCATGACATTACTTACTCTCCCAAATCCAACCACCTTTAAACCTGTACCAAAATCCTCTCCCACAAACCACTGAAATAGCACCCTTAATTTTTCCCCTTTGCCAGAGTATCCTTGCCAGAGTATCTCTTTTAAAAAAGAAAGGAAAAAAGTGCACTCTGTCCGGTAACTGTAAGAAGCCCTGGTGGCTCGACAGTAAGTATGCTTAGCTGGTAACTGGAAAGATGAACTTACACAGTGGCTCCCTGCTAGATCTGGCCGGTTATTCCCATAAATATCAACCCAACTTAAAACACTACTTTGGTGTCAACTCTGACTCGTACTAACCGTATATGTTTTTCTGAGATCATACGTCTTCACTCGAGCAAATAGCCTATTTTTCCTGCAGAACCGCTGATGGATTTGAACTCCCAACCTTTCGGAAAGTAGTCCAATGCCTACCAGATACAGTGCCACTGGAGCTCAGAAGTGCAAGACAGCGGTTCTACCATGTCCCACAGGGTCACTTGGGATTGTCATCTAACAACAAAAGACACATGACAACTATCATGCCCCAGGATGCCAATATCTTAAACTTCATCTGCTTACTCTCTCGGCCTTGCTTGCACCACTGTAGCCAGACTAGCTGTCTAGATAAGTCTGAAACATTTCAAGGTTGCTCTGACTACAGGAGGTTAAACTAGCAATTCTCTCTGCTCAGAAGAGAAGTCTATTATTTGCTCTCTTCCTTGTTTTATACGATGAGCAAAAGTTACCTCTCCAGAGAAACTGTTCCTGATCATGCTTTCTAAAGTAAAATAAGTATATGTCCCTTGGCCATCGGTGGTAGAATTCTTGTCTTTCATATAGGAGAGTGCACTATAAGGCACCTCCTGTGCAGCCACCACCTGTCTGTCAATGGAGGCTTACCTGTTGCTATAAAGCTGAGCAGATGCCTGTAGATCTGCCAGAATTGGAAGAAAGGCCTGGTGATCTAGTTCTGAAAACAAGGCAAGAAACATGCTGTGGATCACAATGGTCTGAGCTGTAATTGACCATTGGGATGGGACACAGTCAGGCGATGTTTAGATCTTTGTGCGTAGAATTGCCTTCAGTTGGGACCAGTTTGGCAGATGTTAACAACAATAAATCGTATATGCTATTGCTGGTGTTTGGTACCATTGAGTTTTCTCATATTCACAGTACCCTTATGTACAACAGATGAATATATTGCACAGTCTTGTAGCATCCTCACAATTCAATTGTTTTTATGTTTGAGCCCATTGCTACGGCCACTGTGTGGCTCTATTTTGTTGAAGGGTGTAGTAGGCTGGATTGTCTAGAGAAGCCAATCCCATGGCACTCATATGTATTAAAGAAAAGCTTTATATTCAAGTAGTCATCTTACATCCAAAAGGCACCCAGTCCAGTCCAACTCGTCTACAAGTCCAATGCCAGCCAAGGCCCTCTTCAGACTCAGGGAGCTGCAGGCTACTGACTCATAAAGGTGAAGTATGAAGCAGGAAGATCACGGGCTGGTGGGTGCAGAGTGAGGAGACGAGGAAACGAGGCCTGGTGCTGGGAGCTCTCTGGGTCAGGCAGCCCACATCGGGCCACCACAAGAGGCAGCCAGAGTGCCCAGCAAACAGAAAGGCAAAGGAGTAGAAAAAGATGAAAGAGAAGTTCCCAGTGTCTGCCCTGTAAAAAGGTCATACCTCCCCGGAGGCATCATCAGGCTGCAATCTGACTGACAGGTTAGACTCCAGTCCTCCATAAATGCAAATTGACAGAAAATCATCCAGCTACCGAAGGGTCTCCATTTACTCTTTTGCTGATCTTACTCTTTACCAGGAATAATTTCCTTCCCCAAGGTCTGCTCCCTCCGGATCGCCTTAGTGATGAGACAAAGTCACGAGACAAAGTCTCACCCTCCTCACGTCTGCTGGACAGCCTGCTGTACTTCTAGCACGTGCTCGCTTGTTCTCTAGCAGTCTATGGTAATTTTAATGCTGTTCACAAACGCTGAAATTTAAATTGCATCAATTTTCCTCTGTCGTACCTCTTCACCCTCCAGCCTTTACATGCATATGAGATGACTGGAATATTATGACTTGAGTCAGACATACTTTAATCATCAACATGACATCTTTGTTCAGACCCAACGTAATGATTCTCATACAATAATGTAATTTTTACTCATATCAAAGAATGCTTTCCAAATGATAGTGTTCAATTTAAGTTGTTCCTTTTTGTTTTCTGAATCCCCTTATTCTGCTTGCTTACCTTGATGTTGGAATCTTCTGACATTTTGAGGGGTTTTTTTGTGTGCCTATTTGAAATTCCTATTTTTACTGTGATTTCTACTACTATAATTTTTAATATCTCAATTACACAAACACAAATTGAGGAAAAAACAAAAACGATGACACCAAATAACTGTGCTCTGAGAGGCAGATTTAAATCGTACCTCTAAATCATCCCGTCACTGCTCTTAGACTAGCGCTTGTTTGTGCCTCAGGTTAATCTTGGAAGCATATATCTTCATCGGCTGTAATTACCCTTTCTGCCTAACTCCAAATCAAAGATTTTACTTCTTTAATTTGAGTTTAGTTTATCACTACTTTTGTCTTCCAGTAAGAGTACAAAGAAAGTCCTAAGCTTGCCTACCTTGACATAACTTTGCTTTTCTAGTGATGTATCCGAATATATCCACGTGCTCTTAATCTAGGTTACTAGAAATTCAGATAAAGCTTTTTTCCCCCAATCATTTTATTCGGACATAATCCAGACATCATACCATTCAATAGTTCAGTCATATCAAGTCGGGTCATGCATTCATTACCACAATCATTATTTAAACATGTTCTTCCTTCTTATACTCCTTGAGATCAGCTCCTCATTGCCTCCTCCCTCCCCTGCAATCCCCCAGGGGAGCCCTATTCTAGCTATTGTCTCTGTAGAATCGCCCAACCTGAGCTTCATAGACTGAAAAACATAGAAAGATACCTAACAGAGTCAAGAATGCTACCAACAATAACAACATACAACAGAGATAAGCTCCGATCTTGAACAGCAACAAAAACACAGAAAATATTAAAAACCAGGTCATCCAGAAGAATTCACTTCAGAGAACAGCACTGAAGCTACAGCTCAAGAAGAGCAACTGGTCTGGTCAGAGCACACAGGAGCCAACGTGGAGGAATAGGGGGGGAAAATAAACAACAGATCAAGTACAAAATGTATCAGAAGGGGATCAAATGATAAGGCTTGAACCATTCAAGTCAGATATATCATGTTATCTACTATCATTGTCTCTCCAGTACTGTCTGTCAATAACCAGGTTACTCCCATCTCTCACTTATGGTCAGAGGGGACTCTCTGGAGGCTTATTCCCCAAGTGGATTCTAGGAATGCAGTTTGGGCTCCCACTGTCATCCATACCTTTCTGCAAGACAGAACTTCACAATTTGAGCTCTGATAACAATCCCTCCTTTAGATTTGGATTATATCTTTCCCATTTCTTGAATCACAGATGTTGGTATGCGTCTCCCGTGTGGGCTCAGCTGACATTGAGAAGACCCGGTCACTGTTCTTTCTGATAGCTCAGCCATCCCATCTCTTCGCCGTCCTTCGCTATAGCGCCCATATTTTCTAAGTCTCTTTCATGAGGATGTGTATCACATAACGTCTTCAAGTTATTATTCAGAAGTTAGTTTCTCAATTACATCTTGAATAAGATGCTCCATTTTCTAGGGGATATATCCAGTTAAGGCTTTATTACTAATTTATTGCAATTTACCTGAAGCTGGGTTCTTCCAGGTTATTAAAAATAGTTTACTTCTTTCTTAAACTTTTACTTTTAAGTCAATCCATTATGGTGCACAGCACATATCTTGGATGTCTGTAACATGGCATGGACTGCTCATGGGTCAAACGGCATACCCTTTTCATAAGCAATTAACATTAGTTTCATTTAGGACAGACTTCTCTAAGTGTGTTTCTTTTTCACTAAAG